CAGTGCTTCATGACATAATGAGATGTTTTGTCGCAGCTTGATTATGTGAAAGTAAAGTGTTTTAGTGCTATGCATTACGCTGGTTGCATTAGTACGCCATGTTTGGTGGCGCAGGAAACATGAGTCAACAAGTGCACGGGTCGTTAACCGTGGCTTCTGTTGCCTATCAAACGTCACTTCTTACAAGAATGCAACAATGAATTCATTTAATTATTGATATCAAATTACAAAGACAAATAATATAGGATCAATAGTCATTGAAAGTTATGAATATTGATCGTTTTATGATATTTAAACTAATATTATATTTTTTTTGTTATTTTTTTTTTTGTTATATTATGTCTGTGTCAACTGAGTATTAACTCATTGAACTGTTGCCATTTCCCTCGCGAATTTTACAATCATCTCGTGATCAATATTGAGATTCTTCCCATCTTTTAAATACGGACATTCCCATCTCGTCTGCCCGTGATCACTGTTGCTGAAAAGTAACCGAAACTTCGGGAGTATGTTGTAAAAAAAAAAACGCTAAATTTATCCGAAAAATATTAGTTTCCTTTAAATGCATACTCGCGAAAGTCTAAGATCTCATTATCTTTTAAAGCTTTGACTGAAAGATTTTAATATTAGGCGAAAATTATTTCTAAAAAGTTTACATATAAAATCTAATATCTCTTAATATTTTTTAAAATAAATATTCAATCTCATTCTCGTGTCTGTAAACAGCTTTATTAAAATCTTATGCTACAATATAAGTGTTACTGATCGTTACCATTTTTTTGTTCCTGAATGAATTTTCTTTCACAAAAACATTAATACACAATTTAATTTTTATTTCTCTGAATTTTATTTACGATACGCCTTAATTGAATTTTATTTATTGTGTTTCTAAACTGATTTAAAGAATCACGTTCCTATTTTTTTCAGCCTGTCATTATAGATTTATATACAAAAATGAAATTATATAATATAGTCGTTATTATTTATAGTATGTTCATACGTCAGACCACTTCATAGAACAAGTTAAATACCTTACACATGTCTAACTACAGCTCTTAGTCAGTAATATTGCATGCTATTTACAAATACAGTATCTATGCAGTTTATATTTATTTTATTACCCATGCAGACTCTCCTGCCGAGAGTGCAAGCAGCTCTGTCCTTTTAGAATAACTCACACTTAAAGATCAAATAGAATCTATTCTGGTAACTAACAAGTGAAATGACTGTACTGTGTAAGGAAATATTTAATTTGAATAATTTATTTTCTTTAAATAATATATCATCTGTGGCAAAATATCACGAAGGTTTTAATGTTTCATATTCTTCCACAGACTATCTAATGTAAACAGACTTAAATGTAAACGTAATCTGTCATTTGTAGAAGTAACTATTTGTTGTGTATTTATTTAACAAGGTAATTAGTAACGAGTTAATTGATTTGCTTCGGAAATTGGTATCTATACAAAAATAGATTTGATAAAACGGAAAACGTGCCAACAGCTAGCTATTCAATGTGCATTGTTACTAAAACTATCTTCGGTACTTTTTTAAATTCTAAATAGAATTATTATTCTAATTTCTCAGATTTTTTTTCTAACAATTTGTCTACTTATAAATGTTTGAGTTTTGCGATAATGGTTCTGATAAATGAAACTAATATTTTCGGATTACTTCGCGAATTTTAGTTTCATTTTAATGAATACTCGCGAAAGTCTTAGATCTCATTATACTTCTAACAATTTGATTGTAGTTACGTTCTTATTTTTTAAGTTTTTTAATTTAAACATTTTAATAACCAAAGATATTTATTATAACAGCGTAATGAAGTTTGTTCCTTTGTTGTTATTTAAGCTGGTTTTTCAAACCAATAATGAACTAATCTTCTTAACGCTAATATTCTAGGTATGTTTCATTTAATCGGATAAGTTTTGACTTGTAGCTTAAATGAAACCTAGACCATATCTAGGCCAGACTGGACTTATACAATTACATACTTGTCCAAATATATTTTGTTGGTATAAAAAAAATAGAACTTAAATTAAAATCTATAATTACTTATTCAATAGAATTTCAATAGAAAAGTCGTCTCAAGAATATTTACATATGATTAATACATCTAATATTTATAAATTTATGTCGAAACAAATGTCATAACATTTTAATGCTTCTGTGCTGCCAAAATACATTATAATAGCAAAAATTTCGTTTTCATTATTCTGTCGCTATCTGAAATTCAGATCCTGAAATCGAATTTGCAATATGTTAATCATCAATTTATCTTAATATAACGTTGCTCCTTAAATATTATAGAGGACTTTTTCGTATATACAATAAAAACATACTTTGTGATGTGAAAGCGTCATTACACATGGCATTATCTATCTATATACAGGGTGACTGGTGAATTACTATCAATATTTAAGGAGAATACTCGGTACATGATTCTCATTCGAATTATGTAAAAAAAATAGGTACTTAATTTTTGTCAAAATTTCCGTATAAATAAATAAAGTGTTGACACGTTCCAAGTGTTCCAAGTGTGGACACGTGCGGCGGCGTGCTGATACAACACTACGCCGCCGCACGCGTATGTGTGAGTGTGGATGTATACCTAATCTGTAGGGTGTTCACACGATGCGTAATTAATTACATAACTTTTGGTTAACTTTACTTAGAAGTGTATTAATATTTATGTTATATTAATTTTTATTTTGTCATATATGATCGTCAAATATCACGTCCTCAAGTATCGATAGTAATTCACCAGTCACCCAGTATATAAAAATGAATTGCTGTTCCTTAGTCTCACTAAAACTCGAGAACGGCTGAACGGATTTATCTTATCTTAATCTTGAAATGTTCGTGGAGGTTAAGGGAAGGTATAAAAGCGAAAAAAATTTATTCACATCCGGGAAAACCCTAAAACATTTTTTTTTTACCTTAGATTTGACAATTAACTAATATGTCAATCATTCTGTCGCATTTTAGAACACGGAGATTTATGGCTTAAAGGTAAACTGCAAAAAAAATTAATAAAAAAAATATTTATTTATCGATTAAGGCAGTACGAAGTCTACCGGGTCAGCTAGTCTATCTATATATTGAAAGAAAATATTTTTAAGAGTTTTTGGTAGTAGTGTTGTAGCCATTTTCCTTTTCACTTCATTGTAGAGGTTTTTGTAGAGCTATATACATATGTTACATTTATATTTTGTTAGTGACATTTCAAATGATCGAACAAATATCTCTTTTCGTTTTTTTGTGTTAATATTAAGAGTTCAATTTATTATGTGTATTTTATTTTTTATGTTATAATATGTGTATTGAGATTTTGATAATATTTTGTATGTAATATTAAATAAATACATAAACATATTTAAACTCATGAAATCACTAATAACATAAATTTCATTTCATAAATCGCAACTTTATCAATACCTACTATTTTATTTTGTTAATAACTTATTTTTTTATTTGTCTCCCTTCTAATTTAATTTCTTTTACTTCTATTACTTTACGTATAAAAACCCAATGTGTTCCAATTTACATTCCATTATACTTTTTAGTGAAGATTGCAGCCTTGAAAGTTTTTATTTTTTTTGAAAGAGATATAATAATAATCTATAGTACATACAATAAACAAAGTGAAAGTATGACTTCTACTTAATTTTAAGCTAATATTCTCAATAAAAATCTTAATACTTAAGGAAACTGCGAATATTTTCATATTAAAATTACCCGACTATGAAAGCCAAACACCTTATTTTCTCCAGATAAACCACATACTTTCGATTCCATGTAAATAATACTGCTTTTGCTGCAAACGAGTTATTCTAGACAGGTCTTACATGGCTCGAGGAAAGCTATTTTATTTATTATATTTTTCAGTACAGTCAAACAACAACAGTAAGTAAATTATCACGTAAAGTCCTTGGCACTTTATGAAGTGCAGACGTGATAATTTATGAAAATGAACAGTAATCATTAAATCTATATATATACAATATATATACATACTAGCTTTTCCCAGCGACTCCGTCCGTGAATATCTGAGTTGTTTTCTGCCACTCCTGCCACTGGACCCGAACTGCATTTCATGGTTCCAACTTCCAAGTATGTATGTTCCATGCCTTTTGTAGTTTTGTTATCGGGATCAGGATTCGGGATTCAGGATAAAAGGCAGCATATGTCTTTCTCCAAGATTCCATATAAGTCATATCGCTATACAAAAGCTGACTTTTTACACCTTGAATCCAAAAAACCCAAATATGTTACAGAACCCTATTTTTTAAATAAACCTAGTGTATGTTATTCGTGGATAATATAGCTTTCGAACGATCAAAGAATTTTTAAATCGATCCAGTAGTTTTTTTCATAACAACCAAACAAATAAAGTTTTCTTCTTTATAATATTAAGTATAGATATCTTCTTCTTCTTCTAAATGGCAATTTCCCAGCTATAGCCAGGGTCTGCCTTTCATGTTGTGAATAGTTTTTGGCTATTTGTTTTTACGACCGGCCGCCTGCCTGACATCAACCCTCTTTTGGGAATCAACATTAATCAGTGATGTCTAAATACTCTTAGAAAGTACATATGATTCGGAAAAATCACATTGGTACTTGCCCGGGCCAGGATCGAACCCGCGCCCTCGGTGACGAGAGGCGGGCCCTCTAACCACTGAGCCACCACTGACTTAATATTAAGTATAGATATATGTATAGATAATTATAAAATTTTAGTCTATATATTTATAAAGTATAATCCTATTAAGAAATTAAAGTGTCACATACTTGTGATTCATTTTTTGTTGTGAAATAAACTTTAATCACATTAACTGCTAATTAAACATAAGGTAAGTACTCGAATTTCTCTGGCTTCATTTTAATCCGTACTAAATTTCTACAAAAATTCGCTAATGTGACTGTTATGAATATATAAGAAAACGTCCATAATAATGAATGTAAATATATTATCAAATAATAATACAAAATATAGTTTAATCCTCTGGAATTTCTTCTTGCATAAACTCTCCAATTTCGTCAGCATTAGCCTCTAATTGATATGCTAAATCTTCTACTGCGGGTGACTCTTCTACCATTGCTTGAATATCTGATTTGATAGACTGAATAGATTTCTTTATCTCTTCTTTCGCAATATGATCATTCTTCTCTTCTTGAGCCAATTTTAGTTCTGAATCAACGGATTTTCGTTTTTCAACTATCGTTAGCTGCTCCGCTGGTAAATCGGATTCATTTTGTGCCGTTGGTCCCTGCATCGGAGAGCCATCTTCATGTGCTGAAGACTCCTCATTGTCATCGTCCTTCGAGAAGTTTTCTCTGAAACAGTGTTTAGCATTATCAAATTAATCATGTAAAAACAGTCATGGTTTGACGTCTTTGATAAAAGATATACATATATTCGTCCAAAAATGATAAAAAAAATGATAAGTATGCGTATTTTTATAAAGATTTAATCAAAATAATAACACGTAAGGTAGAATATTGATAAGTTTTGAAAGGATAAACAAAAGAATAGAATTAACAGAAAATGCACCTTAGTCTAAAATAAAATTTAATAGTTTTATTTCACCAAGATGATACTGTATCCTAACAAAAGTAGAATTTCAATTATAAAATTTTTAGATACTGTACGTGTTTACAGTGTGAAGCGGATGACGGCGATGCCAAGTTTGTGTGTTTGGCAAAAGAAAATAAAACAATATTTGATAAACTGGAACTAAATCCAAAGGAAATAAGCAACTAGCGACAAACAGCTGATTTTTGTAAACTATTATTGGATTCTACCCAAAATAAAATACTCTATACTCGAATAGAAAGGTCAAACTGACGATGTTGAGTATAAGAATGTTTGGACAGTCTATTTTCACACCAAACAATTACGTAACAAATCATCCAGCTTATTTAGCTTGTAAGTAAACCATGAGCGATGTTTCCTGATAGTATATTTCATGAAACTGAATTATTTTTGGACGTCGCTGGCAAGCTGGCATCGATAGACTGTTTGTATTGAATTGTCCGATAGGAGACTGTTGGATTATGTTTGGTGAGTAGTTTTCAATAATTAGTCCATACATTATCTTCTTCTACCTGGCAATTTCACAGCTATAGCCAGGGTCTGCCTTACATGTTTGTGAATAGTTTTGGCGACCGGCCGCCTGCCTGACATCAACCCTCTTTTGGGAATAAGCATTAATCAGTGATGTCTAAATACTCTTAGAAAGTACATATGACTCGGGAAAATCACATTGCTACTTGCCAGGGCCAGGATCAAACCCGCGCCCACGTACATGAGAGGCGGGGCTTTTTAACTACTGATCAGCCCATACATTATCTTCGACCGAAATCCTTCAGATTGTTACTGAAAAACAAGATAAAATGCGTACGTTTCATGATAGTCTAACTTGTCGATATTGTATCACGATAAATTATGTAGTAAATAAACTTCTGATCTAAATGATGTGTCCTAGGTCGTTAAAGATGCCCAACTGAATTCCCGTCTGCAGTCCGTGGGCTATTTCAATCTACGAATACATTTTATACATTTTGTTTTGCTACGATCTGTCTTCATCTAAACTGAAGTATATCGACCTATGTTTAATCTTTAACATTTTTATCATCCTTATATTATCTGTGTAACGACATTTGTCACAATTCTTTTATTTATTTCATTCCTAATAAATCGAATTTTTATTGTGTTATTTTACTTCAAAAACTCAAAATATAAATAAAACAAAGTTCTGTCGCAACAAATATGACATTACAACTTTGTCATCAAAATATTTGATGTACGGAAATCATAAATTACTGGAAAAAATTGTATTAAGTCTGTTATGGCGGGTCGCGTGACACAACCTTGAGGTAAAAATTACAATACGCTTTTCAGATGTCACTGTGAATAACATTTTAAATAACAAACGTCAGAACGTAGAATCGATTGAGCTCGGTTCCGTGGGAACGAAATGGATGATAAATAAATATATCATTTCTCTAGTATAAATATAGACATAATAAAAAAATACATTGAATTATAAACCATTAAATCGTAGAAAAACTATTAATCTTCTGAAAATCGCCTGTAAATGGTTAAAACGTAAGAAATTGCAGTTTAGTCATTAATGACTAACAGGCCACGGTCGTCAGTTAACTGACCAATGTGTCGCGTCATGGAAAAAGGTTAGAACACAATACGTTCAGGCTTAGCTATGAGATCATTGTGATCATATGACCAGTCTATATTAAAATTAGCTTGCTTTGTTAGCTCCACAAACATTATTTACTTATATTTACAAATGTATCATTTTATATTCATTTACACGGACATATAACCGAGTAAAATCAATCTAACAGACTAAAAAACCCAATGTTTAAAAAAACATTGATCACTATTAGTGTTTAAATAAATTATAAGGAATTGCAATCGTAAAATGACACATACGGTCACAATAGTTTAAGGCGTTCGCAACTTCAATTACAAGAAATATATTTAATTTTTAATAAAATAAAAAATATATAGCAAATTACTGAAAAACAAACATTTTCAGCAACATTCACGTACGAAATTATATTATCTAAGTAATAAATCTTGGATAAAAGAGTTCTAAGATTTCTCCAATCTATTACATCAATAAATTTCAATAAACACTGAAACTGCAATAAAATGCGTTTAATCTTGATCTACAGAGCAAAAAATCTTGAATCTTTTATTTAAATTCTGTTATTTCACTGTTTTTTTTTTATTGAGTAGTTTATATCTGCGCTGAGACGGTATCGTCTATCGACCTTAACTTGGCGTCAGTCCAACGATTCCCTTGAAGTAGAATTTCTAATGACTAGCCAACTCTAATTATATAATCGATATATTCAAAGTTATTTACGTTGCAAAGGTTTTTTTTTTAATAAAATAAAACAAATAAATTTGCTTTCTTTTTTTTTATATAAACAATATAATGTGGAAGAATAAAAAAAACCTTTGCCTGTTCTAATATAATATGTCACTTGTCAGATGTTTTGGCGCTATAATTTTTGTATTATTTTTATTTTATCTGTCATCCGATCCATCGTTTGAATCCATTAATTTGAGTTATTTTATTTGCATTAGATGCGGGCTCATCCAACGCTATTTCTATCGCCGGCCGACAACCCCGCATAGTCTAAGCTTATATTACTCTCCCTGTTATACGGATACTTATTTATGAATATACAAAAGGATTTTAAATTAAATATGAACATTAATAAGTGATAGGGTTGGGAAATTTAACGTAATAACTGAATAGAGAATATCAGTTAATCCATTATAATATATACGAGAATCGGGATCTACTTATTTTTATATACATGTTTTATCGTCTTCATCTTTTTTAGCCACTTATAGAATATATCCACTATCATAGTACATTTTCTATTTATTTTACAATTTTCTACATACATTGCTCTGTCCAGGAACCATTAAATCAGTACGTCTTAGACCATGTGACGTTATACAACTTCCTACTCACAATTAATTAGTGTACAGACAATTGAGATTAAATAAAACTGATCGTTCATTACTTATTATCGTTTTAATTAACCGACATTACTTTTTAAATTACTGAACTGTTTAAGGTTTGTAAAATTTCCGAACGTTTTTTTTTAAAATAATATCTGATAACTAAATTCGCTTTAAAAATTCATACCTACATAAACAAATATGTAATGAATGCGATTTATGTGTGTTATGACACCAGCATGTGTTTAATAAACAGCTACAAGGTCGGATTTTGCTGCAAGTCGATCGATCCACGCGAATTCAATACTTATAGTACAAAATAATAAATTTATTCACTACTTAAAAATATTAAAAATATTTTCATATAATATCGCAGATTTCTATGTGAAATATTACATTTTTCCTCTTTATATTTTTAAGTTGCAATCTACATGTCATGTCTACAAACGTCACTGTCACGGGATGAAAGAATATTTGTTATGAAAACCATTAACCTAAAAACCTAACGCCATGCAGGTTTTATTATGTTACGAAAAAACATATTAATTTTAAATAAACGTTACCATGAATGTTTTCCTGGAAAGTATGTTTAGATCTATACCGGTTAAACCTGCTGAAAAAGAATATTTATGTATTGAAATGGAATAATAATGGTAAATTTAGAATATAAAGTCAGGTAGCCGAGGCCGTTGTTTCAAATCAATATCTAATAATTCGCATCAGCTGGTGACGGTCTCATCAAACCACGGTTTATATTAACCTTGGCTCGAAAAACTGTTCAGCAATCGATTCAATTTTTATTCTTGGAAATTCCATAAAACATTTATATTTAAGTAAACTTTTATTATTTAAAAGATATGTGTTAAGATAAAAAAAAGGATACTTATTTTTTCAAAAATACTATGAAGAATTTTCTTTTAAATAAAAATATACCTACTTATCATTTTAAAGTATTTATAACCCTTGACTTTTATAAGTTAACATAAGTAGTCTTCTAAAATTTATTAGAAAACCTACAAACTCCTTTTTATCCGGTAATTTAACTGTATAAACAGAACTTCAGACATACAAACATTTTCAAAAAAAAAATTCTTGATATACCTACCTAAACATAAACACTTGAAAAAGCGGTGACTTATAAATCACAATTAGTGACACTTCAAACAGATAATATTATATCACATACATATAATATGCATTTAAAGTCAGGTTGTAAAGTTTAATAAATCATCCTTACTAATATTATAAATGCGAAAGTAACTCTGTCTGTCTGTCTGTCTGTCTGTTACTGTTTCACGCCTAAACTGATTTTAATGAAATTTGGTACAGAGATAGAGTTGACCGTGAGAAAGAACATAGGATAGTTTTTATACCAGACTTTGGAAAAGTTCTCTTGGAAACGCGATATAACCGAGCTGGACGCGGGCGAAGCTGCGGACGGAAAGCTAGTGTTAAATAAATGAATAACAACAAGATTTATAATATAATTTTAATATATCATTATTATCGATTATGATTTTTCTTCTTTCAAATAAGAAATTAATTGTAATTACATGTGTTGTGAAGCTTTCCAATAACATTCTTATAAGAATATTCCAGTGCAGTAAAATAAATCTATCTCCTATAAAATTATTCGAATAGTAGAAAGTACACGACTACCGCTGCTATTATAGTTTGCCAAGAATAATTTACACAATAACGTCGTCTAATGATCTCGCTTGTCATTTGTTTTTTAATCAATTACTTCGTTTAGTTTTCGTTTTTCCGTCCGCTTCTTATTTATACTTTCATGTTTTCTAAAAAATAATTCAACACGCAACTAGTATTATTTAGTCACCAAATGAACTTTGTGGTCTACCGTGTCCTGGTCTCGAATTCCTTTTCGCTATGATAATTATTGTGTAAACATAGTGACAGAAAAAGCATCAACAATATTCCCGTCTTGATTTTTTTAATAATATCTTAGAAATATTTCTAACTAGTATATAGGACTCGTTATAAATATTGGATTTCACCTTGAATGTTAGCGGTATCTAAGTACTTAATGGTCAATGTCCGTACCTTGAACGCTATTTGCAGAGTTTGCATTATATCAGCAATAAAATTGTAACTGTAATTCACGATATCTGTACGTGAAAGAGAAAAACTATTACATATTTGGAAATTTTAAAATTTTTAAGAAACAGCAACAATGCTGCTTTAGAAACTACATATTTGATATATTTGAGTTCGCTTTGCACAAATTACAAGTATTACTAATAAAGTTTTTAAAAATAAAATAAAATATTATTACATTATAATTTTGGAGACAAACATCAATAGCCGTTTTTATTTCAAATATGGATGACGTTTTTGAACTTCAAAATTTGAATATCAATTTTTATAACTAGTGTGAAGTTGTCGCGAATGGAAATCATAATAAAACATAGCACAATCAAAACATAGTACGATGTGGTCTGAACACTGTTTTTCCTCAATAAAACAAAACTGGTTCATGGGATTTCCAGGCCCGCCTTAAAGATTGAAGAGAAGTAAAGATTTTGTGATCATATTCGAACCCTGGAGGTGTATTGAAACACACCTAAGTATATAATCTTAGAGAAAACTTTTTGCTCAATAAACAATTCTTTATAGAATTTACATTTGACCAGTTTCAATACAATTTACTGTAAGTACAGCGAATTCCATAAAAATTCATTGCTTCTGTGTATTATATTAGCAGCAAATAAAAACTAAATAAAATAAAAGCTAAACTAATTATAAAATTACATTGTTTCAGACACAACTCAAAAATCATTAAATATTCAAAAATAAAAAACAAAAAGAGACCTAAATTGTGATGTCTGATAAGAAGAAAGTTCTATTTGTATGTTTGGGTAAGTTATACTTTACTCAATTAAAATTATACATAAACTTTAAATATACTTTTATAATAATATGCTTTGGCACAGGGAATAGTTGCAGATCACCTATAGCTGAGGGAGTATTTCAGAAAACCGTCGAAAAGATGGGTGTTAGGGATGAATGGGAGATAGATAGTGCTGGCATCGCTGACTGGAATGTTGGATGTACACCAACAACTAGAGCAACTAACACTATGAAGAAACATGACATAAGATACCATAATGTCGGCAGGCAGGTGAAGAAGTAATATACTCAGTAGAAATAAGCATAAAGATAAATGAACCATTATAATAATAATCCATAGAGAAAACAATGGTACCTTAATGTTTCTATATATGACAACAATGGAATCTATATTGCCAGTTATCAATGAGACTCTATACCATAGAAATATTATGATATCAAACAAAATTCTTACCTATAATACAAAAAAAAAATTTGCTTCATATCAATTCTTATTTAAGTATTTAAAAAAAATTGTAAAATAATAAGGCACATAGTTTCATTGATTTTAAATAAGTTTCAGACATTGAAATATTACTATAATACAATCATCTATAAGTTTACAGAAATAGAATTGAAGAAAAGCAATAACAGAACTTATTTGTCATATATAAAAACCTGCAAAAGGTCAAAGGTTTCGTCATGTCATTACAGATAAAAACTGAAGATTTTAACCACTATGACTATATATTTGGAATGGATGACTCAAATATAAAGGATCTTCATGAACTTGCTCCACCTGGTAGCAAGGCGAGGATACTCCTGTTAGGGGATTTTGACCCAGACGGTGAAAGAATTATTAGAGATCCTTATTTTGTAAGTCTTATTATCTTGAACATTATTAATGAAGATATTTAAAGTATATAAATTCAAGAAGGATCATAATTTTATTGTTTGATTTTTTTTTAGGATGGCAATGATTTAGGTTTTGAAAAGTGTTACCAACAAGCTGTTAGGAGTATAAAAGGATTTTTGGAACAACTAGCAAATGGTTCTGTTTAATTTATTATTTAAAATATACACACATGTATATTTGATATGAATTACCTAAATGTAATATTAAAACTAATTTATGGTGTGGTGCCTGGGAAATTTTAATGTTATTTTCTATTGAAAGCAATATTTAATATGTTAAACACGATTTTTATATTTTATATATAGGTATTTAAATAAATATTTATTTGTCAAAGTAATCTCGGACTTTTCATAAATCTCGTCGAACAAATAAGTTACATTTTAATTAATACATGAGTTTGGTTTTGCGGTAAAATATTATACCTAAACCAATATAACTAGATCGTATTACTGTTAACGACACTAGAAAGTGTGTTGTAAACTGATATCTATATAATCCTTTACGTAATTATGCATTCCATGTAACAGCGTATACTTTTTTTAAATTATTTTATGCTAGGGCTTCAATGCTATACTTTAAAAAATTTATGTAATTAGCGATGACATTGACAGTTTAAATTTGATAAACTATAAGAAATGTCATACTGACAATCAGAAGATTATTATGTACAATAATAATACGATTATAATACACTAAATGTAAATATTATTTCGCGGTATTTTATAGTTTTCCCTTTGATTTATCTGTTATAATACAATAAAAGATAGTATTTCATCATTCACAACTGTCTTCATTACTCTAGACTTCGCGCATCCGGCGGAGACGTGAGTCAGGGAGAGCTGCATAACTTCCGGTGGGGGTCACTTGAACCCGAGCTCGAATTTCCGACTTAAATGGATTAATTTGGATCGTTTGAACAGATTTAAGATCGTACACTGCACTTAATGCAGTAATACATTTAATAACATTTAGTTTGACGTAATCTAAAGATAGGTGATATTAAAATTTTGTATACAGGCATAAAGCACCACACCCGAAATGAAATACATGTTAAATGTACTTTCTGATTTCCGAAGTAAGTAACTAGTCGTTCACTAGAGAAAACTAACGTTCTTATAAAGCTCCAAGTTGGAAATTAAGTTAATGAAAATGACTCGACACTCATTGGGATAAATTCGTAAGATAATACGAAAAAGTCATTAACTCACATAACGAAATTTATTGAAATATATATCTCTGAAAAATATTCATATGATTCGCAAAAGAAAGTAAATAAAGATCGTCCTCTACGCTTGAGCAAGGTCAGGAGCTTGTATTTGAATTCCAATGTACCATAAATACCGGCCAATATCCTACCATTGTAAGTATTACGTCATAAACAACAACTATCCCCGGATCGCGGAATACAAACAACTCGAACGAGCATCACGTAAAAATATGTTTCATAGAATTTTATTGCGTAAATTAAATGAGTTGAAAGAGTTTTAATAATAAAATACATAAGATTATCTGCTTAAACGTCATTATAATTTTTGGAAATTCGTTAAACATCATAATGACATAAAATTTTAATTTAAATTATATATCTACAAAGTTGCCGCGGCATTGACAAGAATCATATGGATTTGGCAAAGAGCGATATCCGAGAAGCCACCAGATATTAAATCTATTGTTGGAATTCAAAATGGCTGACTAAAGTCGTAAACAATAAAAGATGTACCATATCTGTTTCCTTTCAAATAAACAAGTCATAGGCAGTTGCTTGTTTATGCATATGCAAAATTTTCTATATACTATTATATACACAATGTTCATAGGTGAAAAAATGCCAATATGTGTTATAATTATTAGAAATAAAAACTTTACATTGAACTTATATGGTTATATCATATACTAGAAGACCTGGCGAACTTCGTATCGCCCTATAATCAAGAAATATCTATTACGTTTTTTTATTTATTTTTTTGGAGTTTACCTGTATGCCATAAATCTCCGTATTTTGAAGTGCGACAGAATGTTTGACATATTAGTTAGTTGTCAAATCTAATGTCAAAAAAAAAACGTTTTTATGGGAAATAGAGATGGGCTGTTTTTATGGTTTTCCAGGTAATGAATCAATTTTTTTCAGCTTTTATACCTTCCCTGAACCTCCACGAACATTTCAAGACTAAGATAAGATAAATCCGTTCAGTCGTTCTCGAGTTTTAGCGAGACTAAGGAACAGCAATCCATTTTTATATATATAGAAGATGCAGACTTCAAAGAAAATACAGAATATTAAAAATGTGGAATTTCTATTTTGTACTGAAATGTAGGCAATAAACACTATCCTAAAGCATCTGTTTTAAATTAAAAAAAATACTATAAAAAATGTTATTTTAAACAATTTACATTATAGCAAATGAAATCCAATACACACGTTTATTTATTCAAGAAAATGTATTAGCAAATGTAAATTTTTTGAAGACAAGGCTATCGAAATACGTGAAAAATTTAATACCTGGTATTTCTCAGTCTTGCACTTCACACAATCTATCGGAGAATCTATCTATATAATACATAGTTGTCTAAAGCTATGTTCATATCAGTAGTACTAATAATTAATATTCGTACGTTTTGTGACGAAAAACGAAATTGTAGAGAGCAAGAAAAAATAATAAAAAGGTTTTTTATAGGAATCATCAAAAATATACATTTGGTTCACCAGTTATGGAACCTTAAGGCTTATATAAAATATAAAAATCGTCTTGAGACAAAAAATTATATGCATTATGAAAAATTATTTCCAATACAGAATTTGAAAGTTGGCGCTATTACTTTTGAACTGTTGCCAAAATAATACTTTATTTTACATTCGCAAACGAATTATTTGTTTTTATATCATCGTCCAAAGTAATCTAATAATCTAACCTGTATATGATAATAAATAAATTTGAAGAAACGTTAAGAAAAAGTAAAATATCTTTTCATGAAAATAAAGTAACAATATCATACTGTCTTATAGTTAAATTTAGTTGCAGACTAAAAACTATATTCTCTTAGAACTTATACATAGTTTAAAATTTATTGAGACAAGTTTTTAAAATTATGAATATTTTAAAAATATAACTACTTACATATAATATTTTGATACAAATAAATAAATATTTCTAATTCCTTCATTTATGTTTTATTAGTAAGGAATAAACCAATTTTAAGAGTGATTCTTCCTTAAATAAATTGTAAAAAGAAAAAGTCTGGATTTGTTGTTAAGTATGTTATTTTGTTTTAATTAAAAGATTCTTATAATTTTTGTCAGGTGTTTCAGTATTAGAAATAAATAACTAAAAATACTAGCATCCAATTCATATTATAAAAGTTATTAAAATGACTTTGATGAATTGTAATTTGTAACATCAACATGAAATTTTGAAAGAAATCAAGAATAGAATCATACACTTACTATAAACAGAAAATGTCCGGGCAAAAAAAGAAGGCATTATTTATTTGTTTAGGTAACTCAATAAAACTACTGATAACTGTTGTTAAAATACTCATGTTTTATAAGAATTCTTTAACCGGTTATAATGGTTTTTAGGAAATATATGCCGTTCGCCGATAGCTGAAGGTGTGTTCCGTAAAATTGCTGATGATACATGGGAAATAGACAGTGCAGCCATCGGCGGCTGGCACGTCGGTAACCCGCCGGACTGGAGGGCTTTAGATACTATGAAGAAACATGATGTACCGTATGATAATTGTGCGAGGCAGGTTTGTTATTTCAGACTAAAAAACATTGTTAATAACGTCACCATATCTTGAGGATCCATCAATATATGATTGAATATTATTTATTAGTAATACCACTTTAAAAATGCATGTATGTTAATGTAGGCAAAACTAACTTTATGCTGTATATTCGTCACAGATAACTTCAAAAGACTTCAATGAATATGACTTCATATTTGGTATGGATGAAGAGAACATGAAAGATTTAAACAGGAAGGCTCCTAAAGGATCTAAGGCAAAGCTGTTTCTGTTCGGAGACTTTGATCCCGAGGGAGACAGGATTATACGGGACCCATATTATGTAGGAATATGATTATTACATCTATTGCAATTAAGTGACCTCTATTTCTGATTATCAATATAAAGTATATGAAATATAATTTTGATCCTGGCAAATTCTACAAGTTTTCTGGGTTGAATGTTATTTTTTAAGATTTTTTTTTGTTTTTGAATGCTTGAACATAATTCTTTGTTTATATTTTTCAGGACAGCGATTCTAAAGGATTTGAGAAGTGTTACGAGCAATGTGTCCGATGCTCTCACGGTTTCTTAGAGCAGTTGGCTCAAGGGAAAATAAAATAGTACTTTAATGTATATTAAATAAATAGTAATTTAGGAAATTAATTTGTTTTTATTTAATATAGGTACTCATTGAATTTCTCTGTCTCAGTTTGCTGGCATCATTTTTTTTATTATTTTAGGTCATTTATACTAAAAGCTTATAGTTTCTTTTATTTGAAGTGAGACTTAGTGTGAGAGTAGAATCCATTTTCCACAATGTTGAAAGCAATTTGGAAATATTTTTATTGTTTGTCTATTGGTACTGTAAATATTAGTTAACACTTTCATTATAAATAATATTTTATTCTCTAAACTGCAAATAATGTACAATTCTTTTTAAGTATTTCATGAATATTAGAGAAGTTGGGTGTTTATTTGAATATAAATTAATCAATTCATATTATAATTTGCAAAAACAAGAATTTAGACTGTTAACAGGATATTTGATAGTGAAAGAAATACTAATTAATATTCTACCTTTGATTAAAAAAATCAAGAATATTAAGTTTTTTTTAAATAATAATTGCAATTTTAATAATAAACACACTTAAAAATACTTAATATTTAAAATCCAAACATGTCAAATTGCTATTCGAAAAATCTAACTACTTTGTGTAGTTACAAACTAGGTACATATTTTTTTAAATTCTTTGCAAAAATTTACCAGAAAACACGAAAAAACCGTATTTGAATTCCTCTTAAATATTTGCAAATCTATGAGACATTTCTGTTTTGGATATTTCCAGTTTTTTTATACATTGATGCACAATATTTTAAAAGTCTGGCTTACTTAAATGTTTAAAAGTTTTTTAATACCTATTGATGAAGAAGAGGAATTGTTGAGTTCGTTTACTTAAACAAAACGTAATAGATTTAGTACCTTAATAAACTTCCACTAACGCTTAACTGATTTTTAAAGATTTGCCTTACCGATGGTGTCAAAAAAGGTATAAAGACACTGACCACTCTTATTCTCAAAGTATATAAATACTATATATAAATATAAAACTTACTTCATCTACGTTAAAATTCTTGCCAAGATCAAAAGAAACTGAACAATTCTGCCGAATAATCATTTCAAACATAATTATAAACGCATCTCTAACTAATATGAATTAAACAATTCAGAATAATTTATCAAAACGCAAACTTAGTCAAAATTCGGAACATGTTGAAAGTTCTAGATTAAATGAGTATGAAAACTAATTCTACTCTATTAATAAATAATCATGACCTACGAGCTAAACATGTAATATATATACTATATAGTGCTGAAATTAATGAAGCGGAACTAATATGTTGACAGTCACATATTATTGTCATTACAAAAGTGAAATTAAATTGTTGAATAACATATTAATTGGTATATACTTATTATGCGTACGTTGTTTTGAAGCACTTGGCTATGATCATTGGATTGTCTCTGTAATCGATTATGAACATGTTTCTTAGGTGTCTAATTGTTTACGGACAGTATTTTAGGCGCCAAATAGAATATATACATAATTAGTTGATTCTAGAATTTATTTCTATTTTAATTGCTATGAGATAAAAAATTAACCTCATTAGTATTAGTTTTTTTTAACAAGATAAGGTTTTTTTAAAGATAATCATTAATTCTTAATATACAATGACTTACTCGTATATAGTAATGAGAAACAAAAAAACTGAAGTAATGTTCTGTTGTCGCTTCTTTTACAATGATTATTTCAATATAGAATACAAATAACTTACTTGTAATAATTATAAGCAAGAGCTATATACCAGAGAGTGAATATAATCATTCCTTCCGCCATATCCAATGAGAATCTAAAAATCGCAATAAATTTAAACAACACCAATACTTTGATCGGGTTTAAAAGTGTTATTTAATTATAAATAATCTTATACATTTGCAAATTATCTTACTTGGTTTAAACGGGACGTGATTTTAAGAATTTTAATATAAATAAGATATTAATGTTAGCCTGATGTTACATACAAAATAATCTATTAATGAATTCCAGAGGGTCTTGGAAATTATGTATGTACTCAATACTTCGAAAAGTCATTCAATATAATTAAAATTATCTTAAAAACGAGGTTGATATGTATAAGCTAAAAGTTATTTATTCACCGAGAAAGAACTAATTAGGAAACAAAAGAAATTTCTTATCAGAATCATTGAACGCGAAGTGTTATTTATAATTTTTAGTCTAAAAAAATCGAAATAACTTTTATAGTAAAAATTAAACATATGCCGGTTTTACTAATCTAGATAATTTGCAACTGCAATGCGAGGTTGCAAAGTTAGGTATGCCATATGATAGAATTTTAAAAAAAAAAACCTCTAAAATTTATTATGTTTTTTTTTTTCCGCCAATCAAATCTGAAACATATTTTGTTGATGATAATTGATGCAGTCGTTATGGAGATTAAAAGCAAGTTTTCAAACTCTTATGGCACATAACTCATAACTTCATTTCAAATTAAATCTTCACTATGAAATATAGATTATATACATGTGTAAGTTTGAATATAATAGTTAAATATGTATATTAATAGTAAAACAACTTAACCATAACATGTATAATCATATTTTATACAACATATATAACATACATCTTAATAATTCACAGCATGTATAAATATTTGTAAATGGAACATGTGATGTCCACTTTTTTTTTTATATGAAAAAAATTTAAATATCAATTAACTTCAACAAATCCTTTCTCTAGTTTGTGGAGGTAATCTTTCCTGCAGGGCATGTCATCCGCTGGTCGGTTATATGGCAACCACACTGGCTCACCGATGAAGAAACGCTTGGCTCGGATGAAATTCTGAAAATTATTTTCACCAACTAAATATATGTAGTACTAACTTTATATTTATTTTAATTAGATAGTAACAATGTACAAAGTAATATAAAATAATGTCAAAATGATATCTGTCTAATATTACATTAGTGTCAAGTGTGAATCGATGATAAATGCCACTAGGGATGACAATCATGTCTCCGGCTGAAACGGCTATACGAATCCACTGGTCACTTGCATCTCTTACATCAAAGTAGCCTGAACCATCCAGGACAAACCTGAAATAAGAGGAAAACCAGTGCTATATTACTTACATGCATTATCAATAATAACTATTAAAAGAAAGTAAGGAAGTTAGTTGATGTTTGAACTATTAAATATTTTGTTTAAATTATTCACATTTACCTTATCTCTTCATCTGTATGGAGATGCTCCTCAAAAAACGACTTAATCTTTTCTTCATAGTTTGGAAGGCATTCTTTTGAGCATACTATTTCATCTTCATATGTGTACCCCCTGTCTTTTTTTATTTTATCCAAAACACCGTCTGTTGCAAATGTATTAATGTTTATCTGGAATATTAAATACATTTATTAATCTCAACAAGAAATATTAGATTATTTATAATAACATTTAAATATTTTGCAATTTTATATACTAACTAAACTTTTTGTAGCTCATACTAGAAAAAACGTAATTATATCACTCATTAAAGGTCGACCTTAAGTTGATTAAAACTTCTAACATTACGATATTAAGTTATCAATTTGTAAATACGCAACTTACATTGAAATATTCAACACCGGTTTTTTTATACAAATCATCCAGCGACACAAATTCTGGAGGGTTCCGGTGATGTTCCAAACGTTGATCACTGAAGTCATTATCCATGTACCACGCTTTGACCATTTTGTAAGGTTTTAATGTAATTATTAAGTATTAAAAGTTTTATTATGAAGTTAGTATAATTTCTATACTGCTCAACTATCGTCACTTGTCGTAATAAATTAAGAATTGTAGATGTTGATGGCAGTTTTTTGAAACGTAGTTGACTTATTAATTTTAAGATATTGCTAGAGATGGCGCTTTGTATAATAAAAGAAAATTTTACAATCTATCATTAACGAAGAACGTGCAATTTATCTGCAAACTAGGTATATACCTACGATATTTTTATTTTAAATTCTATTGTTTAATATAAGCAAACTTTTTACTATCTTCGAAACAAATGAACTATTTTAAAGATTTCAATTATTTCTTTATAACATTTTATTATGTCTGCTTATAGAAATTATGTCCAACTTTAATTTCTTAGACGTAAAAATAACTACTTTTATCTAAACCCCAAAGCCAGCGGTGGGTGTTGAAGCTGACGTATCAAAGGGTTTTTAAATAATTTGTACTCTAGTTCTTTTAATGATGTTAAACTGGAAGTTCTAAATAGAGCAGGATATAATTTTATAGAAGCCTCTTTACATTCTCTTATTTTACACATTACAAGTATGTCCTTATATGTGATGTTCTTATCACCGGTCAGGAATTCTTCAATACTATCAATTTCCAGGTGCTGGTGAACATTTAAATTCGTGACTTCAAACGTATAGATGATATGGGACACTTAAAGATGTTCGAATATATAATTCGTGGCCTTGCCATCCTCCTGCTTTTTATAACCATTATTCGAATTGTATGAATGTGTGTAATACTTGATAATAATGATAGTATCTGGGCCAATTTCGTTGTTGAAGTGTACATATCTTTTTCTACTAATAGGCATGTCCTAAGTTTTTCCTTAAGATCTACCTCATTAGGTTTGTAATCAGGTTTATTTTACACTGACAGAGCCGTGAAGGAAATATGTCTTTCTCCTTACGCATTTGCTCAACCTTCCTATACCTAAAAGACATATTTATTTAATGTGGAAGTAGTCATATTTCTTCTATTGCTTAGATCTATTATAATCAGAAATGAATTGTTTTACAATATAAATCAGACACTTAATAGGATATTTAGACTTAACAATTATTTGTGATGTATAATATCATCAAAAATTTGGTGTAAATTAGAGAAGACCGTTTTGAAGATAGATGATTAATAAAATATTAGAATAATAAGTATAGACTGAGTCTCTTAGTGTGAGACTTTAGTGGTGAAGAAAAACAGAAAGGGTTAAACAGATTGATAAAGACAAATATTAAAAGAAGTACTCATACCTAAATGACGGTAAATTAAGTATAGAATTCAGTGTTGAAGAGATTTTTAACAAGAGGTGCTTTTATACAAGTTATAAAATGAACATAATTATATTCTAGATCAAATTCAGTGTATCTTAATAAGTATTTTTTAGGTAGAATAATATTATTCTTAACAACAATCCAAGGCACGTGAATTAATAAAACTATAATAGAATTAAAAATATATTTAATTACATTGAATATCATACAATCTAATCTCACAAATGAATACCAAGAAACATTTTACATTTGGGGTTTTCATGGTCTAACAGAATGTAGTTACATAGCTCTTTCGATTAATTTATAAATTCTTCAAATTTATACAAATAACTACTAATTAGAGTAAAAAGCGAATTAATTTAAATAATTTTAATATTATTATTACCAATATTCAGTTTGTTTTATATTCAATGTTTTTTAGTCATTTAAGATGTTAAAAAATGCAATAACTTTTGGTTGTGATATTGCCGTTACAAATTATATCAATGTTTACACAAAGACCAAATAGTACAATTTTACTTTTATAACTTGAATAATGAAACAGTTTTATAATGTGCATAATAATATATATGTAAAATAAAAAAAAACACAAGTTATATGAGAAAAGGGTAAAAATAATTGGACGGAAATGTAAGTAGCAAACAATAATTGTGCTAAAATAAAACATTTTGAACAAAAAATAAAGGAATAAAATGTGGTTATTATTATTCTAACCTATTCAAAGATTACTTGTATTTGAAATATTATTTTATAAATCAAATGTGCTGTTTATTTATTTCTATTATGAAATTAATAATAAAATATTTTAAATTCATTTAAATATGCAATTACGTTTAATTGTACATTTTATTTTCTTTCATACAACCGATAATACTTATTAATGAATTTCACATTGAGATCATATTCTTATATAAATTAATAATTATTGTAATAATGTTAAAATTTTAACTTCATAAAAAAGAACTACTGTACACAGATGGATTAAAAATCTATTAATAACTAATATTTATCACATATATAACTATTATTTACAACAAAACAAAAAAAAAACTAAAATTAAATCACTATAAATTAGTAAAATTATATGAACGCATAAAATCAACCCACGGAATTCTTCACTGTAAAATCTGGACACCATTATAGAAATATCTATTACGGTAGCAGAATTAAATTATATAAATTATTATAAAGATCGAACAATGGCAACATTGTCTGAATCTTTATATATATATAATATTCAGGGGCAGTTTGTATGCGTTACGTCATTAACAATACAAGATATAGTCATGTGACTACAATAAATACCACTGGATTTATAAACAACACAACACTCAATAATTAATTATAAGTTCACAGATTATGTCACACACTTGTCAGCTGTCAGATGAGACCTGTCACCTGTCAGATGTCACTAGTGTCACATGTCAATAGTGACAGTGTCGCTTCAGTAATGTCATTAAAGCTTGGTGTGCTTCACCGTGTCAGTCCAGTAATTCTGGATGGTCATGGCTTCTAGGGAGTTGAGGAACGAATCGTTGTCCAAACTGTACATCTCCTCTGAATTGTCCTGAAAATTAAAAATAATTTGTAATATGAGAAAATGTATTACAATACGAACTAATATTTTTTAATTATGAAATTGATTGTGTATTCTAAGGCAACATATAGCAAAGATGGTTAGAAGTACATAATATACTTTAAGACTGAATATTGAATGAGGTTTACGAAATATAATTTGAATAATAAATGTACCCTAATAGTGCTGTCATCTAGATATCCACTGGAGTCAGGATTTGAGCATTTGTCATTCAAAGTCTGCGGCTTATTGAGGTATCTTCTTCTATATAGAACAAACGCCGTACTGCCGGCTAGTGCAGCCAGGACTAACGCCGCGAATGAGATCCCTGCTATCGCCCCCGTGTCCATACCTCCACCACTAGAATCTATGATCCTTCTAGAAGATTCTACGTTCGGTGGGATCCGTGTCTGTAGAAATATTGTCTCCAAGGATAACGGTTTCTCTGTAACTATTCTGCTTTCAGCCGATCCCTCCAAAGTGAAGTCCTCCTTCACGAAATCTGTAATCGTGAAGTTAGTTCTCTTTGTCGTGAATGTAGTGTTCTGTATTTCCGTAGTGTTCCCGTAATCCGTGATATTAGTAGTGTTCTCCGACAGCGGGATGATGGTTATGTTGTCAGTATTGACCGGCGTCCATTTTATTTCTGTTGTGTTGGCAGTCGTGCCGTTGACATCAGCTTTGGTATTTGTTTCATTGGTTGTCCTTGTAGCGAGTTCCGCGTTCTTCGTGAAGTACATGGCCCTCGGCTGTCTTTCTTGGTGCAACTCTGTCTGGGGAGCTGCGTCGTTCATCACGGTACACGCTGGAATATGACACAAATCAGTTAACATTCTACAATTGTTTTTTTTGTGAAAGCAGGTTTATGTTAAATTATGAGTACATTTGAATAACATGTTCCGAAACACAATATAGTTATGTAAGAATTACAAAACGTTTTATTTTATTTCTAATTCGGTCATATTTTAATCTGTCTGTATTTTCGGAATAATTTTGTGCGCTATAATGTCCATACAAATGACTTTTAATTGAATCATAATGAAGTCGAGCGTTTGCTCTGAAGAACATATTTTTGTACCAGGTGTAATGAACATAATAGTTTCCTCTAGTCGAAGGTAGAAACTAAAGTATTTTAAGCAACGTTATCCATATAATTGTTTTAAATACAGACGGAAGTAAGAATTAGCATAAACATTAAAACTAAGATAAAGATTAGAAAATTCCGTTAAAAAGAACCATAGAATTTAAATTGTTAGTAAAATTAAGTGAAGAAGAATATTAACTATGTAATTAAAAAAAGATAAGAGCTCCCATCACTATATTATGTTATGTAATAGAGATTTTTTTTTTTTTATTTAAAATGAAATAAAAACCTCCTTGCTGAAATAAATATATTAAATAATAGTATACTTTAACAAAGCAAAGACGAAAATCTTTATATAGAGGACCGTTAGATGTGTTATCGTTTTGTTTGTACCGAACGGTCTCGAGCCGTGTCTAATAATTATTCATCGCGACCAAAAAGGAAGAAGACTCGGTAAATCGTTGCTCTGCCAAATTAGAACCAGGAAAAAACAAGGCTGAAAAACAATTTTCCAAGAATATATTTCTGAATTCTGAAATTTTTATCAAAAACACTTACATATAAAACATAATTTTTGTATCTCATATATTCATATTTTATTAGTGCTTAAACACTCTTTCACGAAAGAAAAAAAATTACGTCGTTCCCTATAATTATTTAAGATAAACTTTTATTTCATTTAAGTTGTAGGTAGTTACGAAAACTGTTATGTTTTGAAGTAATACTTCGTGTTGTTGAACTATGATCACGTCATTGATGAAGGCCGTATTTAAAACGACCAAACTATGACAATAAAATATTTACTATTGAGTGTTAGCGAACTATACATGTAGGATAAAATAAACAGTATGTACTGGAACTCCGAAGCAAATATTAAACAAAATCAGTCACACCCAAGGTTATACGGAATAATTAACTTCTATACATACATTCAAAACAAACTATACTCTAAAACTCAATATTAAGGTATATATTCGATTGTAATTTATTTTAGGTCAATTCGTACATTAATTAGGACTTTACATAGGTCTAATGTATTCCAACTATTCAACAATTGTTGGAATTTCGGTTGGCGAAATTGAAGCAAATTCCCAGACATAATTCCAGGAATGAAATATTTAGGTTAGATACATATAAACGTCGTTCATATTATTACTAAAAAACTTGTTAATTTTATGAGAAAAATTAGGTACATAGTACGTACACTTATATAAGCAATAATAATAATAAATCCTTTTCTATCTCATAATCAAATGAAAAAGTTATTACAAAGAAAACAAACGTTAAGGAATATTGTACATATTCGAATTAAAAAATATTGAGTTGGAGAGGATCGTGCAGTAAGGTTTAAACTCATAAAGATAATAACTTGAAATAATCATGGAAACGAGACGCTTCGTTCAATATAAATAAATATATTTCTTTTATTATTAAAAAAAATAATATATAGCAAAAAATATACATCATTAAAATAATTATTCACATAATTATAAATTCTACATGATCGTTCATATTGTGAAAAATTCTAGAAAGATTTTTTTTTGTCTTTTGTTTTATATTGAAATTATAGAATACTAACGATATTTATATTTTATATAATAATATTAATAATATATTTTTTTATTGCATTATTTTAAATCCAATTGTGAATTACTTAGTTTAATACCATTAACCCTGACTCGTGTGGTTATAAAACACACATCAGAGGCTTCCGTATCCAAAGACGATTAAGAAATATTAAGATAATATAATAAATTTTATTGTTATTATGATTCTTTTATGGCATTGATTTATAAGCGGATTCCGTATTATAATTATTACACATTTTTTTTTTAAAACATATATCTATTTTTAGGGATAAAAAATAATATATTTGCAAGTAATTTTTGGAGGGTGATGACGTGATGCGTTAACATTAAAAGTATAAATAAATCGATCATGATTCACGGTTAATGAATAACAATCAAGATATCAGATGTTAATGTGGGCGTGTAATCCTAGAATATAGTCAAAATTTATTTGCAAGATAAATTTACGAATTAATATGGCCATGGGACTAAATATTAGCATAATTTAAGCAAAACCGCAAATATATTAAGGTATTCGGTGGATAGGAATCTTTGCTATACACACGACCGTAACTGACCTTTACATCAAATACCAAATTATGGGAACAATGACTATACTGTGCGATAGTCTAACTTGTGTAGTGGAATATTTGCCCTATGGGGTTATCTTGCTTCTAATAATCGAAAACCTTCACCGTAGGAAACATTTAAGCGAACCAACGCTGTGTATATAGTAATAACAATTTAAAAACTACTTATTGTTAAGTCTATTATATATAAGATTGATATTGGAAGAGAAACAATTGCAATCTTTAGATGAAAATTTTATAGTTCTAAATTGCCGTGATGAAACTATTTGATGCAACAACGATAAAATAGCGAGATAAGGAAGACGAATGAGTCTGTACGAGTATGCACATTATGTATAGAAAATGAGAACGTACAATGTAGTTTATGTACCGTCTAAAGAATTATTATGAACAAAGAAGTAGACTCAAACAATGACGCCTAAATAGTACTTTAATTTTTTTCATAAATTCCTACTAATATTACAAATGCGAAAGTAACTCTGTCTGCCTGTCTGTTACGCTTTCACGCCTAAACCACTGAACTGATTTTAATGAGATTTGGTACAGAGATAGAGTTGACCTTGAGAATGAACATAGGATAGTTTTTATTCTAGACTTTTAAAAGGTTCTCTTGGAAACGCGATATAACCGAACTCCACACGGGCGAAGCTGCGGGCGGAAAGCTAGTTTAATATATAAAACCATAATTTCATGAATAAAAAATCTAAGTTAATTAATAATAAGATCACTTCACACTGTGAAATTAAGGCAAAGTTTCATAATGCTTCAATAACAACTTAGTTAGGCTAAATTGATTATCATACCTATAATTAATAGCAGCGTTGTCACCCAGAACCAGTGCATCCACCAGTGCAGCGTCATGATGGCAGCGTGATTTGACAGTCACTTGATACCGACCTGCAAAATCATTACATCCGTTTATGGATGACATACTAATATGACGCAATATATGATTTGAAATAAATGCTTATTACTTTTTTCTTGGTTATTACAAAAAAAGAATCAGAAACTAAAAAATTAAGAAAGAATTTTCAGCAGAGCAAAATCAGCTTTGATATGTGAGAACGCTTTCCAGTTGTTACATGAAGACTGGAGAATTTTCATTGTGCCGTTTGTTTGACGGTAAACTGAGTTAACATGTTCCGTGATTAACGAACAGCGACTTGTAAATTTACTAATTAGATTACACAGCTCTTAATGAGCCTTGGGTGGAATAAACGATAACTTGTCTTGGATAATAATAAAGGAAAGATTTGTAACAAAAAGTAGATATTTATTCCATAAACTTCTCTTGATTGTAAATATTTTTTCCTTTAGAAAAGTCAATTTAATTTTAAATAACTTTAACTCTCTCGGCGAAAGAAAATAAAATTAGATAAAAAACGGCGCGGAACATTTTCTTTCGCTTAAATTATGAGATCATGGATTATGAAAATTAATGGCTTTAGACTGTAAAAGATTTTACTTAGAAAAAGTCTTTTGATGACGAAAGGATTTTTTTGCTCATATTTTTGGGAACGTTTATTGTAATTGGAAATAAATTAAACAAAGTTTAACTGTGTTGTTAAAAACAATTGAGAGCGCACATCGTTATTTTTCACCAATATCACCTCGAATGTAGACTACAGTAGGCTGCACCAATTAGTCAGAACTATTCAGCCATTGTTTCCTAGTATTTTTGAATGGAATATATTTTCATAGCTGGCAAAGTGAACGTACAAAGGGGAATAATAATAATTATTTCTAGTTATACATTTGCTCATTAGTCAGTGAATGAAACTAAAAATTAGTAAACTGCCAGATAATTAGAACTGACGAGGTCTTAAAATAGAATTTACGAAAATAGCACAAATAAACAGTAAACCGTTTTATAAAACCTGACTTCTGAAATATCTATCATGGGTTGAAACTTTAATAATGTTCTATTTAAAAGAGATTTCGATTTCAGATGGTTCACAAGAACTTCGCGAAAACATGGGACTAATATATTTCTGAGAAAATATATCCTTTACAGTGTGATATTAGGAATTCGTTCGCTTGAAATGATAGAATTTTAGTATAATATAAGCAGTTCCCACGGCTACACGAAGGAAGAGTTATATAAAAATATACCCAAAAAATCTTTAATAAAGGCAGTTCAAGTCAAACAGACACGCCAAGATACATAAATCGTGGTACTATATTGTTTTATCGACATAATGTGAGAACAAATTTTATAATTACGCTTATAAATAAAAAAGAATCCATTAAGGTTCAACTCAATTACTTAAAATTACCTCAGCTGTAACGAATTTTGCATATAATTCAGAGTTAAAGTAAGGTAGTCGGATAATTGCTCGTATATCTTGGCAAGGTCCTCAAAGACGTTAACCTACCGTTTAGCGACGCCTTCTCGTGTATTTGAGCTTCTGCGCCGTTAATTTGGGGGTGAATTTCGTTAAATCGACGATTTACGGCTTCACGCCCCGACAATCGAGTAACATTTCGACTCAATGTCAAGACGTGTCAGGGCGCGCGACATTGGCTGTTCTGAGAGTTCGTTACGTGTGCGACTTTATGAATACAAATTAATTTGGCAATAATATAATATATACCAGTTAGATATCTTTTAATATTATACGTGTAAAAGAAATAAATATAGCAGAGTTAAGGTATATGCTCCTTTTTTATATTTGACATAATCCGTAAGGCTATACGCTTTTTATATCTGACGTTTATTCCAGAGAGGTTTGATGCACTTTAAATGCACTTCAATGTTTATATTTATATCTGGATAGACTTACGAAAGGATGCTATTTATGGATTGAATTCAAAAATGATTGTTCTCATACAGGCTTCAAGCCATAATTATCTTTATAATACAGTAATAGAGTCATTTTTTGCATGCATGTGTTTATAGTAATACTGTAAAGCTATTAACTTTTTTGGGTGCGCGTGATCCGCTTCGATCCACATGAGGTGGAACATTGCCATTGGAATAGGGCTGTCAAAAATTTAATTCGAACACATTTATTTTGTCACGAAATTGTGTTCTTAAAAGTTTAAAGTTCATTATAACTATGGTTATCCAATCAGTATAATTGATAATCAGTTTTTTTTTATTTGCTTGTCTTAGAAGACAAGTTTATGTTTGAAAAAAACATACGTTTGACAACCCTGTGCCGTATGTGCGTTCGTTCCAGTTCGTTTATACATAAACCTTGCTGTTTTCTAAAAGATAACGTTAACTTGAGCGGGAAAGTATACGTTTTTGTTTTAATTCACTTACGAGAATGCTTTCACTCATTGATGGTAATGAAATTGGGAGAAAGAAATAAAAAAATATATAAAAAGATTTTAATACATATTAAATTTAAATGTACTCCAGAAAAATATACTTATAACCAAAATATTCACTAAAAATAATAAAAATGCAATTTTTTTCATTCATAGACCTTCATAAGAATAGTATGAGTTAAGGAATAACAAACGGGAAACGCTAAGTAAGTAGTGTGACTACGAAAACATGTGTTAAGCGTACATTTATGTTTTACTAAAAACTTTTGTTAAGAACTATGCTGAAAAGAATTTAAGAATGAAAAAATAATCTACAATTAAAACAGAAAAATCGTAACGGTCTAAATAATTCGTTTTGAACCAAAATTCTATTTTAAATACCATATACATATAATAATTAAGAAGCATATATTTTGGTCAATTCATGTTAGTTAATTTTTTACTTTCTCTTGAGATACTTTTAAAGTATATTCATTGAAACTGATATAAATATGAGAAAAGACTTTTTTTAATTCAATTTAAATTATATTCTATATGTATATATTGTTATTTTAAAGTAATTTGGAAACATTATTAAATTTCTATATATTTTCTATATAAAACATTGCTTTTTAACTAAAAAAATGTTAAAATCATTCATTTATTGCAATATTAAATAAATATCATAAAACAAACATCGAATTGTAATTTCTTCTTAAAAATATTTATTATTTACATATCTCACGTAAATTATTGTATTATTTGTGTGAATTCTAGTAATCCACGAGGTTATCTTCGAAATAATTAGCTTCAAATCTGTTTATAAACACTATATTCAGACAATGGTCTATTGTGATGTCAAGCATCCTTGACAGATCTCATCTAGAATAACCTTAATTATATATAAGATTTTTGTACATAATGACACATTATACAGGTGACTGGTGACTGGTGAATTACTATCGATACTTGAGGACGTGATATTTGACGATCATATATGACAAAATAAAAATTAATATAACATAAATATTAATAAACTTCTAAGTAAAGTTAACCAAAAGTTATGTAACTAATTACGCATCGTGTGAACACCCTACAGATTAGGTATACACACACACTCTCACACGCGCGCGCGGCGGCGTGGTGTTGTATCAGCACGCCGCCGCACGCGTCAACACTTGGAACACTTGGAACGTGTCCTCACTTTATTTATTTATACGGAAATTTGGTCAAAAATTAAGTACCTATTTTTTTTACATAATTCGAATGAGAATCATGTACCGAGTATTCTCCTTAAATATTGATAGTAATTCACCAGTCACCCTGTATAAAAGGACAAAATACATAATTGTTTACTAGTACGCAGCAAGCTAATTGTCTTTATTTATTGAACTAACGAACCGTGAAGGTATATTTGGTATATATAGAATTTCGATATGTCAAAGGATAGTTGAGTCTAGATGGATATCAAAGGGAAATTGTCAAAGGCCTCAACTAAGGCATCCTACATACGAGTGATACTAATAATGTTTTTAACCCGACTGTGATTAATGAGAGTTATGTTTCTTGATTCGTGTATTATAGCTGTACAATGTAATTATAGCTTTATTATTTTAAGTTTGTAACAAGCCTTTTATATTTTTTATGCTTCTTTTGAATTAACAGTTTTCGCTACATAAACCTGCAGTAGTTATTTTATCTCATCAAGTTTTCTGAATTTTCATTCCTGTACGCTTTTAAATTACATGATATTAAATCTGTCATCATGACTTTCCGCTCGGTAAATAAAGGCAATGTTACATATAAAATTTAAAATTAGTTAAACATCAAACAATTTTACTACTCATGATTGTAAAATAGAAATAGATGGAAAACTATAGAAATACGATTGAATTAAAATAAATTACAGGCACAATACGTAAAAGGATTTATCAAAAAAAATATAAAGCCACTTGTAGTTTGACGTCAGTCACTTCAAAAAGATATTATTTCACTCGTGACATGATTTTGAAATTAAAAAAAAAAAATATATTCTTTGTATATTTTATTAATTAACTGAGGATTAAATACTAACGTATATATTAAATTAAATATTAAATTAATTAAACAATATATTAACGTCAAAAAAATCGTATGACAACTTTGACAGAGAAATGTTTGGGCTTTATCATAACTCATGATAAATTTTTTTTTCTTAGTACAACTTTTAGGATTTTTTTAGCTATACAATAAATTTCATTAAAATCGGTCCAGTGATCCGTCAATCGCAACAATACTTCAGTTTATTTTCTTAATCTCAATCTTTATTAATGCTTATTCTTGTTTTAATTATCATTCTTATTAATTTTTAAAAAATAATTCAGCTTCTTAAAAATCAACTCGAAAAAAAAAATTTTTACTTATGTCCTACTTTTTATAATAGTATAATTCAATTCGCAACATAATAATAAAGTAAATAAACACATTCTAAAACCTAAAGTATATCAAGGTAATCGATAATTTCTTTACAACTGATATGTAAGTGATGATAACCAAGATTCTTGGTTTGTATCATAGAGATTATTAGGTATGACGTCACGAGATGACGTCACGAAATGACGTCACCT